CAGTCCTCCCAGACCATGTCCTTCATTCTCAGCTCACTCTTTCCTCCTCTCTTTCCATGTTTAATGCTTGCTTTATCATTTCTCAATCTGAGGCATAATAATGGCCATGAGGAACTCATTTGGTCGATATCTCTATACATCTGTTCAACAAACCCTAGTGGAAATTCAACTCCCCCAAAGTTTACTGTGTTGCAGGAGTCAAGCACAGGGCGATGGCTAAAAGAAGCCATCCCACAGTCAGCGCCTGGTACATGGCGATGACAGCAGAAAGGAGAGAAACCAGCTGCCAGGAAACAAAAAGTCTCCTTCTCCAACTTCCTCCACAGTAATGTCTCCTCTGTTCTTTTGTACCGTGAGCACTGCAGCATCCTCTGCTCTTTGGCCTCCATATACTTAGTCTTATTTTTTTAAGCACCATACTAAGTATTTAAAATCTGGCAAAATAATTATTTACAATAATTATTGTAATACTTGAGTTGTATGAAAACAACCTATGTGATCATCAACAGATAAATGGATAAAGATGTGAGATATATACTTAAATACATTATTTAATACTTAAATAATTATTATTTAATGGAATACTACTCAGTCATAAAAAAAGATGAAATTTTGCTATTTGCAACAGCATGGATGGACCTTGAGGGTATTATGCTAAATGAAATAATTCAAAGAAAGATAAATACTGTATGATTTCACTCATACACAGAATATAACAAACAAAACAAATAAATCAACAAATCAAAACAAACACACAGCCACAGACACAGAATAGTGGTTACCTAGTAATCAGGGGAAAGGGGAGGGGGAGGAGGAGAGGGCAAAATGGGTAAAGAGGATCAACCACATGGTGACAGATGGAAACTTAAGTTTTTGGTGGTGAGCACACTGAAGCATATAGAGAAGAAATGTGAGTTTGTACGCATGAAATATACAATGTTATAAATCAATGTTATTTCAGTAAACAAATTTCAAAAAATCTGGTAAAATGGTTGCTATAAGTAAGAGATTAATACAGCTTAGGTAGTATTGTAACAAATATTCTCTTACTAACAAGATTTGAAATTCACACTGAGCTTATAAAAAGCTGAGGCAAGAGTAGTTTCTCACTCCAAGTTATATCCCAAAGGCTACAGATTGTACAACTTTAGAAAAGATTAGCACAAAAATCTCAGAAGTGATGTAGAGAGTTAATAAACCAACTTACAAACTTTTACAACTGTCAATTGTAACATGACAGTTACAACATGACAGTTGTAACATGACATGAACAACTTTACTCATCCTCCCACCAGAGGTATTTTGAAGTTAATGCCAGACATACCGTCATTTCATACATAAGTATTTCAACTCATATCTCTTAGAGATAAAATTTTTAAAATGATTATTACAGTATCATTAAATCTCTAAAATGATTAATGCCTTAATCTCATTAACCATGTAATTTTCAAATGTCCCCAAATGTTTTAGTTACTTGAATCATAAATAAAATAAGGTCCCTACACTGGAACTGGATTATGCTGATATTCTCCTCATGGTGTCACTAAATACATTCTCTATGTCTCCTGGAAATTGGTGTTAGAACTATAATATAAGCCTGATCACATTTGGCTCAAGTTTCTGGCAAGACAATCTTACAGCTGGTGTGGTGTACTAGCTGGTTTCCACTTTTTTTGTGATAACAGCACACCATTGATGATCACTGTCATTATCCCTTAATTCATTAGAGTTTGCAAAATTGTGATACAGTGACATTCTATCAGTCCTCCATCTTTTAAGAATTGGGAAATATGCCACTAATTAGAAATTTCTTTGCACCAACTACATGGTTACTCTGAGCTACAATTCGTAGAAGAAAGGCAAGGATAATACTTGAGTCTTTCCACTTATCATCAGTACTTTACTGGCATTCCCTACAGGAGACCAACTACTAGTGTTTTTCTTTAGTATTATTGAAAGCTTTGAATTCAAATATATTTAATGTGTTTCAAAATACACCATAGATACTATTCTTACTGATCCTCAAATTGGCCCATTTTTGAGTCCTGAGTCCATTAAGATGCCATCAGGAGTTTTGGGGGAACTTAGCTTGAAAGGTTTCCCCAGGGGCTCAGACAGTAAAAGAGTCTGTCAGCAGTGTAGGAGAACAAGTTCGATCCCTGGGTCGGGAAGATCCCCTGAAGAAGGAAATGGCAACCCACTCCAGTATTCTTCCCTGGAAAATTCCATGGACAGAGGAGCCTGGGAGGTTACAGTCCATGGGGTCACAAAGAGTCAGAGACGACTGACTGACTTCACTTTCAGGAGTTTCTGATAACTGCTTTGCCTTCTAAATTTGCTGTAAGTTCAAGCAGGAGACCCCAGTTCGATTCCTGGGTCGGGAAGATCCCCTGGGGAAGGGACAGGCTCCCCACTCCAGCATTCTTGGGCTTCCCTGGTGGCTCAGCTGGTAAAGAATCTGCCTGCCATGCGGGAGACCTGGGTTCAGTTCCTGGGTTGGGTAGATCCCCTGGAGAAGGGAACTCTAGTATTCTGGCCTGGAGAATTCCGTGGACTATACAGTTCATGGGGTCGCAAAGAGTTGGACATGACTGAGCGACTTTCACTTTCATGTTCCATCTTGTACGCTGCCTGCCACAGACCTGGAAGCACCTATTTTCCAAGAAGATCTGGTTAATTTTAGCAGGAAATGGCATTTAGAGACTATAGGGCTGCTCAGAGGGCATTTAGAGGGCATTTAGAGGGCATTTAGAGACTACTAGAGACTGTTAGGGGTGCTCATTGCTAGCAGGTTTGTCGTTTTTCCAGGCCCTGCCATGGAAAAGAGCTAGAAAATTAATCATCACAGGATCTTTCCTTAACCCTACCTATCTTTCATGTTTTCCTTTAAAACACACCCAAAGGCTGGGTTCCCAATAATATTAGCTTAATCACTCAACTGCTTTATCCCATAAAATACATTTTAAAAAACTGTAGCAAAGACAACCAACATGACCACTATAATACAATTACTCTAAAGAGTTTATATTTTTAGAGACGTCATTGTCTTCCAATTACAATTCAGTCGGAATATATAGTCACGTTTACTGACATTGAAATAGCCCCTCTGCATGGTTGTTGTATCAGTTAGTCAGTACATAACTAGGCCCTTCTGCTTCATCTGGTTTCCACGGTTAGGAGTCTTTTACAATTAAATTGTGTTAAAATTATGCAAAATATGTGTATGTTCTAAAGTTAAGGAGACAAACAAGATACATTCAGAGAAATCTAGCTTCTACTTTCTCTCTCCAGTCGCCACACTGTTTCCTCAACTGCACTACAGGTAACCACTTTTTTTTGTTAATTTTTTTTTTGTTTTAAAATTTCCAAATATTAGTACTCCTATCTCTTTTTTTAGTGAATGATATATACTATATCTACCAGTTTCCACCTTGCTTTTCTGCCCTGAAGATCACGCTACAATAGTATACAGAGATACTCTTCATTCCTTTTATAGCTGTGGATATAGTATATGTTATTCATCAAACTCTTGTGTTGACCACAGCTGGACTGTTTCTACCTTTTGCTATTATAAACACTGCTATAATAAATAGCCTCACATGTGTGTCTTTTCTTATTTTTGCCTTGAGATAGGATCCCTAGAAATAGAACTGCCTGGCCAAAGGGTAAATATAAATGTAATTTTTTTAGGTATTGACAAATTTTCTTCCCTAGCATCACCGACTTAATGGACATGAGTTTGAGCAAACTCCAGGAGACAGAGAAGGACAGGGAAGCCTGGCGTGCTGCAGTCCATGGGGTCACAAAGAGTCAGACATGACTGAGCAACTGAACAAGGGCTTATACCGTTTTGCATTTCCTCCAGCAGTGTTTGAGAGTGCCTGCTTCCTCCCATTCCCTCTAGTCTCATCAACAGGATAACTTACCAAACTTTAAAATTTCTATTAAAGTGATTGGTAAGAAACAATAAATCAGTGTAGTATTAGTTTGTGTATTTATTAATACAAAATATTAAGTAGCTTTTCACGTGTTTAAAAGGCAATTTATAATTCTTTTTCTGCATATCACCTACTCCTATATCTTGTCCATTTTCTTGCTAAGCTGATAGTTCTCTTATTCTGTACTTTTTAGAAATATTAACCCTCTGTGGTTAAAAACTGCAACACTCTTCTCCGATTTGTCATTCTTTTACTCTGTTTATTATGTTTTCAGCTATACTAAAGTTATTATTTTTACTATCAAATTATCTGTAGCTCCTTTATTGCATCTGGAGTTTGAGTTGTAGTTAGGGTAATTATCTACTTCCAGAGGAATTCACCAGCTTTTTTCCCCTAGTACTTGTCTGGTTTCATTTTTGTACATTAAGTGACTGAGTCATTTGTAATTTATCACTGGCACAGCACAAGCACTAAATCTAGTATCATCTTCCTTCACTACTTAAACATGAAATAATGGTGTGCATCTGTGTCTATTTCCTCATTTTCTACTCAGTTCTAGTAGTTTGTCTTTTTATGAACCAATACCACTGTTTTAATTACAAAGGCTTAATAACGTGTTTCAAAATCTAGTAGGTCTACAACTCTCCTCTGCTGCTTATAAGTTTTTTTTTTAAATATTTTTATTTATCTGTTCCTTCCAATGAAGTTTATAATCAGATTGCCTAGCTACAGGAAAACACACATACACAGAGCCGTCATAAAGTAACAAACTAACTTTAGGGAATTGACAATTTTATGATGCTGAAACTAAAGGAAGTGTTAAGAACTAAAACTTGCAAAAAAGCCTTAAAATAGCTGATCATTCTCTGCTTGTGAAAAGATACAGGCTAACCCCATAAAACCTCTGCTACATTACCACAAGAAATTTTTATTTAAACAATAAAGGTTAACAAGAATAAAAACCGATCATTTTATGTATATCATGTATTGTGTAAACCAGCAGATTAGGAAAAAACAAAAATGATCAAATAACACAGGTATTAGTAATGCACCACTACTCACCCTCCTTTTTCAGCCATTTCACAATGTTCCCTTCTTCCATTGTAGGAGACAGTGATGGCATTAGTATCTTAATAGGATCAGCTGAAATTAAAAAAAAGGAAAGATTAAACACAAAAAGTAATACACTTCATGAAGCATCAACAAAAAGTTCAAGTAAATTAATATGAAATTCAACCTGAGGAAAAAAATATTCCAGTCTGAAAGATACCCAACTGGTCAAACTAAGTGTTCAGTAATCTTTTCCACAATATTTTCAATTCCTTTTTCATCGTTCCCTGAGGTCCTCTATGCATATTTTCAAGCCAGGTGCTTACAAAGATTAAAAAAAAAAGCTGACTTATGTTTCATCTTTTTCTCCTTCCCCTTTTGTCACTACAAAAAAATATTTACAGGTAAAACAACCAGAGGAAAAGACAAATAAAAAGAAAATAAACTGGTTTCTGATAACCTACAACACAATAATTAAGATTAGATTTACAACAGAATAATCAAGATTAAACTTTAAGAAACTGGTTGTGTTTTTACTTTCATCTAACATTATATACGATTCAAGAATCAAGGGTTCTTGCTGCTAAGTGTGAAAAGGAGAGGTTTGCCTTGTTGCGGATGATCTGGCAAGAGAACTTATGTAGTTAAATTAATCTGAGATTGTGTTCTATACCAGAATTCGATTAAGGATCCAAAAAGATAAGACTCAAGCCAGGAGGACCTCTCAATAAAGCAGAGCTACTTCTCCCTCAGGTATCAAAAAAGAAGACATTTCATATATTTGCCAGATGTGCTTCCCAAGAGTTCCACCTTCCAGGACCAGAGCACACAGTTGTTACATTACAATTTACAGGAAGTTTATCCTAATAAATAGTTACCCATTCCAGTGCTTATTTAGCAGCAGCCGCAGTCACAAACTACATTCCCTGAAATCTTCCACAAAACTTATTCTATTCTTAGATTATTCAACTCTCTGACATAAAAAAGCAAAACATATCACATCTAGCATATTTCAAATGTGGAAAAGAGTAGAACAGGACTTTTTCTCCCCATTGATGTTTTGGGGTTTAATACTAATGTTAAATGAAGTTAAACATTTTCTTTGGGAAACAAATGATTTTAATGTAATTTCAAATGGGGAGTTCCAATGGCGTCATGGTAAAGGAGTTCCATCTCTGAAATATTTGGAAGGAAGCTTCTGTCCTCCCTCCAGTTTTCATTTACTCCCCTCTAAAGGACCGGGAAAAGGATCTGAACAAATACACCTGCCTCAGTCTTTTCCTCATTATAAGACCTGCCTGCCTATAGACAGCCTTCATTTTCCCTTCAGTTCTTCTATGCACTAGGCATAAATGGACCTGCCCTTCAAAGCAGAGAGAAAGTTCAACTCTCTCTGTTCCTGCCAGCAGGCCCAGTGGGTGCTAGGAAGTTACTCAGGATGTATAGTTTATATACACAAACTCTCTCAAACAAAAGCCCAAAGTCTACACAGGGGCTGTACTGAGGAGTCCAACTGTAGAAGGCCACAGACTTAAGTCACATTTTCCAATTGAACAAAATCATCAGCATTAAAACTGTTACTCTGATCTCCATCCGTCTGACTTTTTGCCTCTTTCTCAACTGGTACTAAACTATAAGGATACAAATGTAGAATCATCACTCTTAATAATACCCCGACAATGACAGAGCCCAAACCAAATTCTAAGTCAACACACCCATTTCATCAACGAGAAAAATACAGCCCCTGATTGAGGGATCTGAATTCTGCCTAACTCTCAAGGCTGTACTCTCCTACACTCTATTACCACTCATCAATAATTGATGATCCTTACCAATATGGACCATCAGTTCATTAATCATCAGTTATTTTATGGCTTATTCACTCAGAAATTCAAACGTGAGTATTCTTCATGTGTCTAATCAAATAGCCTAACAACCCCTCTCTATTAAAAGTTCAAGGCTGACATTATGAGATGGAATACTTCACAATCACATACATAGCAAATTTATACATCAAATAGTTTCAATACAAGGAGGCAAACTAAATGAACTGCAATGATTCTATGTCCAGATTCTGATGTATGACAAACACGTACTCGATTTTCTCAAAACAAAGTCTCTCTTCAATATTTTTATAACTTGGTTCTAGGTGCCATGATACAACACATATTTATTTTACGATTCTCTCCTATTATAATCTCTCACCTATGAGACTATCACATTTTCCATTATTTCTGACATTAAGTACTTTATTATGAAAATTTCACATTATTTTATGAATTCCCACATCAAGAACCACAAAAATTTTCATATTTTAAAAGTAAAAACATCATTCCTCATATAGCCACCCTTCATGGGTGAATTGTAATTGCTCCTCTGAATAATGACAATAAAACATAAAAATTCTGTAATAGATCACGATCCTTCTCTGAAATGAAGGTGACAAAAAAACAAAGACATTCTGGACATTTCCATTATTCAGTACTATCTCCTGACTGATTATACCGACTTATGGAGAATGAAATGTGCAATGTGTTTTCTGATTAATCTGACTCATCTATCCTCAGACTCTCATGTTAGAAAATCATTTTAAAAAGGAAGTATTAATTTATTAATGAAAATGAATATTTCATTCTAGTATATCCTCGTTCTCCCTGATTTTTCCCCCCTTTTTTTCCAATTTTTTTTTTTTTCAGTGGGAAGGTAATTATATAATCATAATACCAGTTTTGAATGAAGGGCTGCACATAACTAATATCTGATGGCTGCCATCAATTCTTTTGAAGACAGTATGGGCTTTTCTAGACTCCTTGAATTTTAACCTATACATAACATTGCTTAACTCCATTAGAAGCTATATATCACTTCCCTTCTCATTTCAATAAGCAGTACATTCTACCTTTCTCCTAGCAAACTAAGGAGGCCTTGAAATGGGCACCAACTACAGTTCCTATTTATAACTGGGCACAACTATAGTAATAATAAAGGAAATGTGGTTTTTTTAATTCCCCTGGTCATACAGGTTATTTCAATTAGTACTCAAAAAATGCCCCATTATTTTGTTAACTTTAACCCTCTTGTAGTCATTTTAGTGTTGTTTCTTTTTATCAAGCTGAAAACTGTATCTATTGGCTGATAAGTCTGCCCTTCTGTAGCAGTTAAAGACAATATTTAAAATATTTTAAGGTAACTAGAGTACTGCACATTTCCAGGTTATATTTAAATATACTGATTTTAGAGTCTCATCAAGCCATCACAATTGTTTTAATCTTTTTCTGCCTCAATAGAACGGCACTGTCATTTCTTAGTATATTTCATATCTTTAGAACACATTTCTTCTTAGTATATTGCTGCTTTACCCTCTTCATCAGGCATTCGAGCCTACGAGCAATCGATCACTCACTGACTCTATAGCAGTTTTTCTAAACAATTCCTAATTTCTTCAAACCTGATCTTCCAATCTTTCTAAAGTATAATTCAATTTTCAACTTCAAATATAGTGCATTCATCTAATTTCTTATTCTCTAAAGCATGCCTTTAATTTTAAAATACTCATAGAGCAGCAAAACCTATTTAAAAAAGTTTTAAATTGAAGATCTACACATCAATTCTGAAAGATCTCTAGATTAAAAAAAAAATTAATATAAGCAAACTCTTAAAATACAAAGGCAGAACAAATAGCTTGGTGGCTAATATGAAGCACATCTAAGCTCCATTACTCTAACAATTAAGGAAACTCCACAATTTACATATGGTACTGCTTGAGGGTCATGCTCTGTTCCATTAATATGACTATAATCCAAACACAAAAATCATAAAGTGAAGATAGACAAATCGAAGAAATAAATTACCCAATACTTCATTAGCACAGCTCTCTGTTCTTTACATTAATTTGCTTATTTCCTAATAGAAAGCTTTTCATTTAATCACTTCTCTTTCTAACGCAAGAACTCATTAAATAAAATTGACCTTTAAAATTTCTGCTTAAATAAAGCAATTCTGCCACCTGCAGGCTGGATGAAAAAAGGCCATATGAAGTACAAATAATTTCAAAATCAGTACCAGGGCACAAAGTAATATTAACACTGCAGTTTTGAATAAAGAAAGGTAAAGATGTCACATGGGTCTTTGTTCAAATACTTATTTTGATATAAGAATAGACTGAAAATGTCAATGAGCAACAACAGAAAACATATGCATAATAGTTTGTGTGAATACAGTATTTAAAGTAACAAACATAATGAAAGATGTCCCTCAAACAGTACACATATACATGGCATAGTAAAGGGCAGGGAAGCAGTGCTGCAGGCCATGGGGTTGCAAAGTCAGACACAACTTAGCAACTACGCGCGCGCGCGCGCGCGCACGCACACACACACACACACACACACACACGTCATAATCCAGGTTCTACCTATTTAGCTTGTATGTACACAAAGACTGAAAGGACTCACTCCAAAATGACAACAGTACCTGTCTTTAGTTCATGGCTTTTTTATATATGCTTTTTGTTTCTTTGTTTCTTGTTACTTTCAGACATAAACCCACAAGAACAGGGAGAAAAGAAAGAACACCAGAACACACTCTGGAAGCAGAAAAGTGAATAATGCAGATAGGAAGACAAATGATTGACTAAAAGAGTCTAAGAAAGCTGAATGCTAAACCAGAAGTGGAAAAAACTGAGATGATCAACCTGGTTTATATGAGAATTTCCCAAAGGTCCAAGAACTGGCAGTACTGAGGACTTTTGGAAATACTGGCCCTTTGAAGACTTGGGTGAATGCTATTTAAGTTCTGAGTAACACCACCATCCTTCAACAGAAGACTGGAGGTTGTTTCCTCTGTAGAGGTAAAAGAGAAGACCTTTGGGAGATGGGTTGAACCTACACACCTAGAGAAATACAGAAACTACAAAAGTGTATTAACTGAAAAAACAGTGTAACTGACAATACCAGAAACTGTGTCAGGTAGGTATTAGATGGTGTGGGACAAACTGGCAAGTTAAAGAAAAAGTATAAAGGCAAAAGATTTGAAAAAATGCAGAAAATGGTCAGTTCAGCTCAGTTGCTCAGTAGTGTCAAACTTTTTGCAAC